GGGTGGGGACAAGGGGAAAAAATGAGAACCAAGACCTGGCATGTAAAGGGACAAGATCCCAGTAATGAATGTAACTGTACTGTCTACCTATAATGTACCAATAAATTAAATTTTTTAAATGTAAAAAAATAAATAAAAATAAAGAAAATTTTGGGGTTGTCTTGGGGCTTTGTGGGGGCACTCCTGGGCAATGAACCCAGGGACACACTACCACTGAACTACATGCCCTTCCCATTTTATTTTTTTATCTTCAGACACAGTCTCATAAAGTTGCCCCACCAAGACTCAAACTTCACATCCACCTGTCTCACTCCCCTGGGTAGCTGGGATTACAGGTGTGCAAAAGAAGTCCTACTAAAAAAAAAAAAAAAAAAAAAAAAATTTGTTTTTTGTTTGTTTGTTTGGGATTGTTGGGTTTTTTGTTTTGTTTTGTTTTTTTGAGACAGAGTCTCACTATGTAGTTGAGACTGACCTGGAACTTACTATGTAGCCCAGGCTGGTCTTGAACTCACAGCGATCCTCCTGCCTCAGCCTCCCAAGTGCTGGGATTACAGGCATGCACCGTCAAGCCCGGCTAAAAAATTTTCTTAAAGAAAACATGATTTTGTTCCATGTGTACTGACAAGGGATGATGATCCAGACATAAAATTAGATAAACAAAACAAGTAACAGAGCAATTTGGTAAAGTGAGCCCATGTATACAACAAACAGCTAATAATTTTCAGGTAGATACCAAGATAAGTACTGACAGGAAATGCTTAGCCTTGTGTCTGGGTTATCTCAAAGTGAAGGGTAAAATTAGAGGGATAGGAATGACCCAGGTGTGTTTAAAACATCCCTGTATTGTTTGAATGTTCCTCTCCTAGAAGTGGACTGAAAACACACGTTCACCCAAAAACTTGTACATGAATGTGCGTGACAGCATCATTCAAACAGCCCGAGTGATCTTTATTCACAAAATGGAAAATAATACTTAGTCGTGAAAAAGGAACAGAGTAATAATATGCACTGCCACCTGGGTGAACTTTGAAGATGTGGTGCCCGGTAAAAGAAGCCAGATACAAAGCACAACATATAATAAGGTTTTTCTTCCCATGAAACACCCAGAACAGAGAAATCTATAGAGATAGAAGATAGATTGGTGGCTGCCTGGGGCTGAGAGGGGTTAGGGCTGTAGCGAAAGGGTACGGGGTTTCTTTCTGAGGTGATGAGAATGTTCTGAAACGGCCTCACCCTGTAAATGTCCTGAAGCCACACGCTGTGGGTGAGGGAGCCGTATGGAGTGTGAATAATAATATCTCATGCAGGCTCTTGTCATAAAATTTAAAAATCACAAAACAAAATTGTGAGGAAGAATAGAAGAGGAAGGCCATAAGGGGAGAAAGAGGGAGCCTGAGGGGACCGGGGGGCATCAACTGAAGCAGCTGGGCCCGGTGGCCAGATCCTCCTGGGTTCAAATGCACACTGTGCCAGTCACTGGTGGGGTGACTTGGAGCAGTCTCTTGATTTCACCACATGGACCTCGGGCTCCTCGTTTGCAACGTGGGGCGGAGGGGACAATGGTAATCTCTCGGGGCTCCTGAGGACATGACCTGGACCATAAGCAAGTGAAGTTGGTGTTATCTTCCGCCGGAGGTGGAGGGGGAGATGGGCTGGGCGATAGGAACGCTGGGTGCCCACGCTGAAGCCAGCGGGGTGGTGGAGGACCTCGTGGCTGGTTTGGCACCGCACTCGCACTCGGGCTGATTTGGATACAGCGCTCCGGCTTCTTTAGCCAGGGGGCGTCGCCGGAGCCCCGGCGTCACTCATTCTATGGGCGTTTGACTCTTGTATTTCAACACCGAGGCTGTGTCAAGGGTGTGTCCCTCTCATCTCGTCCTGAGGTTGTGTGAGTGACTGGAGACTCACTGGCAATAAAAGGAAGTGATGATTGTGCTGTTTCACAGTCGGGCCTCTCAGGAGAGCCTGGGGAGATCCGGCACGGTCGGCCCCTTCTCTGGGATCAGCACGTGGCTCCAACTCCTCCTCGAAGCCCAGCCCCAGACCGGCAGATAGGAGAGTGAGAAGATTCAGCCAGACCTTGAGAAGCAACCGTGTCTACAGCCGGTGAGTGATGTGGAAGCTGCCGCCTCTTCCACCTCTCCTTGTTGCACACACACACGCACACACACGCACACGCACACCTGTCGTTCACGAATGGATGTTCTCACCAGATCCGGCAGAGTTGAAGAAATTACCATCCATTCATCCATCTATCTCTCCAGGCTTTCTTTCATTTGTTCATTTATTATTTGTTTACTCAATAAATTCTCCCCAGCATCACCTCTGCGCCCTCTTTTGGAGACAGAGATGAAGGGGCCAGGCTTTTACTCTTGAAAGTTGAGCTGCCAATAAAGCCGTGAGAATGAGAATCAAAAACACTGCTGTTTTATGCAGAATGTGACACTTTCTTATCAAATTATGCCTACCTGTAAATGTATCTGCCTTGCGATCTTTCTGTGTGCCTATAACCACAAAGAGATGACAAACGTGACGCTGGGTGAGCAGTTTAAAAAGGATTACTGCTATAAAGCAAGTATAAACAAGCAGCACTTCAGGGATGAGGAGAAGGGAGAGGCTACGTCCCGGAAGTGCACTGGAATCACAGAGCCTGCCTTTATCTGCCACTGCTGTGCAGCACCTGACACTGTTCCCGGGTCTTTCCTTTTTGAGACAGGAAAACTGAGTCTCAGGGAGGGAGTGAAATGCTTCTGCATTTACAGCTGGGCGAGATGAGCACTTGATTGTGCTGTATCTGGTTCTAGAGCTGTGCTCCCTCCACTTACTCCTTCACTACACCTGGCTCCTCTTTGATCTGTGCCTCTGTGTGTGTGTGTGTGTGTGTGTGTGTGTGTGTAGACAGAGAGAGATCTGACGTTCATTTCTGTCAAACGTTAGAGCTACACATGAGCAAGAAGAATATCTTATATACTATGTTCTCGGTACTTGACAAATAATAGATCCCTAGGACATGCGTTCCAGGAGGTGGACGGGTGGATGGGTGCACAGATGGATAGGTGGATGGACGGGTAGTTGGTGGGTGGGTGATAGATGGATGCATGGGTCGTTGAACAGAGAGGCGGGCGGGTTGATGAGTACATGGAAAGACAGTTGAATAAGTGGGTGCATAGTTGGTAGGTGATGGATGAGTGACTGCATGGATTAATGGGTGTGTGGGTGGGTGGATGATGGCAGAAGCACGCACAGTGGATGGATGGATGGGCAAAGAGATGAGCAAATGGATAGATGCATGGATGGCTGGGTGAGTGGAGCCAAGGACAGACGGAGAAGGTATGGCAGACGTCACTCCGCTCCTGTCATCAAGGAGGGCTCTTCTCTGGAATGCCAAGCCAAGAAAGAAGGGACAAACAAGTGATAAATGAAAGCAGATGGGAAAATACCACAAGTCCTTCTGTTTAGCCAGAGTGCAGAACTCAGGAAAGGAGAGAACTTCAGTAGATGTTCCATTTCAAAGCAGAGACCTCTTCGGCCGTTCGAAGACCCACCAGGATAGTGGTATTCATCGGCTTTGATGAAATTCCCAGTTTAAGTCCAACCTGAAGGCATCTGCTTACTGACGCCTCCCCAGCCAGTTACCTCCTGAGTAGAAGAGGAAAGCAAATGACCCACCTAACCCTCTCCCCAATCCAGAGCCTTCAGCAGGAAGTCAAGTCCACCACAGGCAGTTGAGTGTCCTGAAGCAGGGAAGGGAAGGTTCCAGAGGGATTAGAGATGGCATTTTTGAGGATATCCGTGGATGGAAGACTCTACCAGGTTGTCAGCTGAGGGACAACAAGCACCGTGGGCTGTCATCTCTTACCCAGGTCTGACCATATACCAGGTGTCCACCATGGGGGACATAGCTGGTCTCAAAAGCCCAGGTAGACCACTCTGTCCCTTGATACTCTGCCTTCCTTGGAGACCTTCAACCTATGTCTTCTTGATCTTCAGGATCAGAAAAGATTGCTGAGAGCTGAACACAGAATCAAAGCAGAAATGAGTGATCCTCAGCCTTTGGAGGAGGTAGGTTGGGGGGCAGTTTGAAGGGAGGGGGAATGCCTGGAGAGGAAGGAGGTGAGGAACTTAATCCTTCAAAAAGAGTAGAAAGAAAAAATAATAACTCATACTCAGATCTAGAAAGAACTTTGTGATCTTTCAAATGATAAAAAAAAAATAGACTCAGAGATGGAACCCAAACTGAGGGGGAGAGAGGGAACCCAGCTATACCTGAATCCAAAGATCAATTCTTATCATTATGGACTCAGTGCCATGCTTCTCTTCGGGGAAGAAATTTTTATATTGATTTTGGTTTGATTTTGGGTTGTTTGGTACCAGGGATTGAACTCAGAACCTTGTACTTGTCAGGCAGGCATGGCACCACTGAGCTAAATCTTTGGCCCAGAAAAGCAATTCCTTAGAAGGAAAAAGGATAAGATGTCAATGTTGGCTTTAGAAATTTGGTGACCTTTGCAGGTGGGGAAGCAGTAGAGGACACACACACACACTCACTCGCTCATCTAAATGTGGAAGCTGGGGCCCAGATAAAGACAATGACCTACCCAATGAGTCTTGCTAAGAAAATCAGATCTCAGGTTCAGGTGTCATTTGAATTTCACAACAGCAAATGCATTGATGTAAGTATAAGTATATCCTACACAATATTAAGGCTATACAAGTACTCATTCTACCAACTTATTTTTTATTTGAAATATGTCACAGGCACCTTGTATTTTACCTGGCAGTGGAAACCCCGGGCCTCTTTTGACTGTGCCTTCTGCTTCTCCATAATCTCCTTGCCTTTGCTGATTCTGTCACCCCTTGACCAGGAGAAGTATGATATGTCAGGCGCCCGCCTGGCCCTGACGCTATGTGTTACCAAAGCCCGGGAAGGCTCCGAGGTAGACCTGGAAGCCCTGGAAGGCATGTTCCAGTACCTGGGGTTCAAGAGCATCATGAAAAGAGATCCCACCGCTCAGGTATTTGGCTGAAAGCTCCCGGCCACAAGGGAAAGGGGGCCGAATCAGAGGAGCGGGCTCTGAGGCCTCATAGAGCTGGTCATGTCTCCCTCCAGCAATTCCAAGAAGAGATGAAAAAGTTCCAGCAGGTCATAGATGGCTGGGAAGAGCCTGTCAGCTGTGCCTTTGTGGTGCTCATGGCCCATGGGGACGAAGGCCTCCTCGAGGGAGAAGATGGGGAGATGGTCAGGCTGGATGACCTGTTCCAGGTCCTGAACAACAGGAATTGCCAGGCCCTGAGAGCCAAGCCTAAAGTGTTCATTGTGCAGGCCTGTCGAGGAGGTGGGACAGAACCAGGAACACAGGACCCCTCGCTCTTCACCCACCCCAGCCCCAACGTGGCATGCTGCCTTCTCCCCTCCGTAGCTTCCTTCCTCACGCTGCCTCTTCTTCTTCTTGGTCTCTCAGAACACAGGGACCTCGGCGAAACGGTAGGTGGAGATGAGGTCGTGATGATCGCCGACGACAGCCCTCAAACCATCCCAACTTACACCGACACCCTCCACGTCTACTCCACAGTAGAGGGTAGGAGCGCCCAGCTGGCCCACAGTGGCCTCTTCTCCTCTCCTTCGCCTGCCACTCCTGACCCCTGCAGCCCGACTCACCTCTCTGAAATCCACAGGGTACATTGCCTACAGGCATGACGAGGAAGGCTCCTGCTTCATTCAGACGCTGGTGAAAGTGTTCAAAGACAGAAAAGGATCCATCCTGGAACTTCTGACGGAGGTGAGTTGGGACAAAGTAACCAGAACCCCACCCGGGTGGGGCAGACTAGGCTTCCCCCAGTCTTTCTCTGTTTCCCCAGCCCCAAATCCCAACACACAAACCAGGATGCTTTTATGCCAGTGATAAATTTCCCTGGGGCACACTCCCAAAACCCACAGTATATGACACAGTTTAAATGAAATACAAAAAACTTCATTGAACAATCTTTTCATATTGAATTAGTGATGGCCAACATTTTTTCTTTAATGGTGGTATGTTTTGCTGCAGATTTTTAAATATATATATATATATAAATATTAAATATATATGTGTATGATACATATGTATATGATATGTTTATATATATTCATTGCACCAGGGACAGTATCCTGTAATCCCAGCTACTTGGGAGGCTGAGGCAGGAGGATTGCAAGTTTGAGGTCAACCTGGACATTAAAAAGTAAAACAAAGGCTGGGGATGCAGGTCAGTGTGAAGACCCTGGGTTCAATCTCCAGCTCATCCAAAACAAAGTCCAACCAATGATTCCATGTAAACTGTAGACTAGGAGGAGACAACAAATGTCTTTTATCTCAAGCCATGGGTACCCAGCTGCCACATTCTCTTTCTCCCCATAAACCAGTGACACTAACTCCCCCAGAAGCTCGGTCCCAAGGTTGACCACATGTATTGCTGCAGGTGACCCGGCGTATGGCAAATAAAGAGCTGCTTCAAGAAGGACGAATGAGGAAAGTGAACCCTGAAATTGCAAGCACTCTCCGGAAACGGCTCTATCTGCAGTAAAAGTATAAAAGACAGGGAGAAGCTCTCCTAAAATGTCCTGGTCCCTCAGATATGCACAGGGAAGCTGACACCATTCCTCAAAATCTTCTCTTGCCAGTCTTTCATCACACCTCCTCATCCATGTCCTTCTTAGAGCAAGCCGGCCAAATCTGAGCACAAGACATGATGGTAACATGAACATCACCTCCCACCGGCTGGACTCTCTACCCCCATTAATGCAACCTCAGACTGCATTCACTTATCCTACTTTGTGCTTCTGTGCTCAACTGAGATCTTCCTCTTCCTCCTGTGAATCATACTCATACTAAACTAACTAGTTCAGCTCAATATTTTCCTCTGATAAACCAATGCTTGCTTTCCACCTTTCACCCCAATCAAACCTTTGCTGGCCCCTGAGACTCACTTGGAGTTAGAAGCTCCTCGTGAGCCCATATTCGTTAGCATCTCCCAGAAGTTCAATCCTGAACCCTAGAACTTCCACATGGCAAGAATTATTCTCCTTCAATCTGCTTCCTGGCTTGCAAGTTAGTGCCTTAACACATTCTCCTTAGGATGACCTTACGGACTTTTTCTCTGGATGATGCAGCTCCCTCTTCCTCTTCTGGTTCTCTTCCTCCTAGTGCTTCTCACCATAAGTTCCTGGACTCTGCATTCTCTCCAAGAAAATATCCACTCCTCTCTCTCTGTCTCTCTCTGTCTCTCTGTCTCTCTGTCTCTCTCTCTCTCTCTCTCTCTCTCTCTCTCTCTGTTCTTTCAACTTCCAGCCATTCTGAATCAGAGCATGACAGAGCCGGGGCGGATCCTCTTGTATCATCCTGTCATTTTACAGATCAGGTAACAAGGGCCCAGAGGGGTCAAATAATTTGTCAATTGCAGCACAGGAAGCCAGAGGCACAGTAGGGTTCTACCTTCCAACCCAGTTTCCTTTCCACCATCTGCTATCTCTTAGTCTACTAGAAAGGTTTTCTAAGTATAACTACCTACCCAAATGTCCCTACTTTGGAGGGAAAGAACCCTTTGGAAAACTTCTAGAAATTCTCAATAGGCGCCAGCTGAGGTCAACTCTGTAGAGTGGGAAGTTTGACCAGATGCACGTTCTGCCACTGTACCATCCATGCTCTGTAGATGTATCTGCTATCATTGGAAATTCATCGCTAAGGAGTCTTTTCCTCCTGGTCTGTCCTCCAAGTCCCTTAGACCTCAGGCTGCTAATTCTAAAGTTATCCACGACCCCTGTCTTCTTCTATGCTTCGTGGACCACCGGCCACCGTGCCAGCCCAACCTGATTTCATGCCCCCCTTCCCATCTCTCCACATCACCCTTAAGCTCCATCTCCATTTCTCACATCTTCATCCTTGCAGCTGGCACACTTCCCTGCCTCTCTGCCTTCCTTTCCCGCCGTGCTTCATCTCTCCTTCATACCATTTACAAGCACGATCTCCAGAGGACACAATGAGCCCTGTTATTTAGAGACCAAGGCCAAACTTTGATTTCTCAAAGCCTTACAGTACCACTCCATACCGGCCCTCAGCCAAACTCATCCCCAGCCTCCTCCTCCATGAATTCGCTCTTGCAACAAATCTACGTCCTCTTCGTCACCTGTACTAAGCCTCTGCCATCACCATTTCCCTAAACAAAGGGGCCCTCTCTTCCCCCTCATCCTCTTCCCACTGTCTTCCCGCCCTGCTACTGATCCCAAAAAGCTTTTCCTAGTGGTCTCTTTAGTTGTTACTACTGTCTTCCTCATAGTGAAATGCTAGAAACTGCCATTTCTGGAGGCCAAGAAAATATCATTGAGATAATGAGTGTTCAATAAACACCTGTCAAACTTTGCAAGCATGGGTTGGAATCTTCACTCTGTGTATAAGTCAAGAGGCTGATGTAAAAGGACATTTGGAGTTGATTTTTTTCTCGCAATGGCCAGCTGTCACCTGGGTGTGTCTATCACGAACAGAGAATCGGGAGACTCAATCCATCTCTTTCACAACAGCAGATGTGCTAGGAACTTTTAAAATTACAGATCATGTTTCTATACCAAATGACTCTATTTTACATGATTGGTACTGATCCAGAGTATTCCTAAGGAAGAATCCAGACACCAGCACCATGCCTTGACAAAACCACAAGGCAAATCCAGGTGTAGTGACACTGTAATTCCAGCCACTCAGGAGGTTGAAGCAAGAGAGAGAAAAATCTGTAAGGACCTTAGAGATCAGCTAGTTTCAGGAACACAAAAATTTAGCAAGCATGTCTTTATTTCTATTCTGGTGCCCATGGAAGGCATAACTAATCAATCACACCCTCCTGATCTCAGACACAGCTTCAACATTTTCCCCTCTCAGTACTCAGGAAGTAGACAGCAGTCTGTAGGCATGTGGGCCGCCTTCCTGCTGATGAGATATTTTTAATGGATTTGGAGTTTTTGGTTGTGCTGATAGTGGAACCAAGGGCTACATGCACACTAAGCAAGTGCTCTGTCACTGAGCTACACTGCCAACCTGGCTATCACTCCCGATCCAGTCGAAGCCCCTTGCTAAGGAGTGATGGATATAGGGTCATTAGTAGACCCAGGGTTCCTCACCTTTGGTGCAGCCATAGCCATGGCTTTATCCATGAGAACGGCAGAGCAAGTGACCAAGACAGGATCCGCATGCAGGGCCAGATGATCTGGGATGGTACCTACACAGAGTACCATGCACCTGTCCATGTGCGAACCTGTCGTCCAAACACCAAGTGATTCTGAGTCTCCAATACTGGGGTCAGAAAACTATGGACAGCTTCAGAAATCCAGCCTGCAGTCTACTTTTATAAATAAAGCTTTACTGGTACACAGTCATGATCACACACTTATATATTGCCTATAACTTCTTCCATTCTACAAAAAGAGAGGTGACTAGTTCCAGCAGATTCAATGTAACCTGCAAAGGTGAGAATAGTTACTATCTGACCCTTTACAAGAAAAAAAAAAAGATTGACAACTGCACTTACAACAAACTCCAAATTTGCTATGAAAATCATAATGAGCTATGATCTAATACCTGTTTGGATGACTATTTTTTAAAAAGGAAAGAAAGCTGGAATTTCAAATGCAAAGTGATAGCCTAACTTTCATGAGACAGAGGTAGGGGGAGGCTTCTTAAACTGAGGGGCACATGCCTATAATCCCAGCAACTCGGGAGCCAGAAGCCCTGGGCAACTTAGCGGGACCCTGTCTCAAACTATAAAATGAAATAAAATGGGCTGGGATGTAGGTCAATGGTAGAGCAGCCTGGATTCAACCCCCAGTACTATGAAAAACAAACACATAAATATGCAAGAGATAAGAATCGCAAGGACATGAACAAAGAGGAACACTCGCACGCCGCTGTTGGGAAGGTGCATTTGAACAACCACTGTGGAAGACAGTGTGGAGGTTCATGAAGAAATTTAAAACAAAACTACCATATGGCCTAGCAAGCCCTGCAATACATGAGCCCCCGGGGGACATTCAAGATCCAAATTATAATACTAGGTATCCATCAATGGGCAAAGAAAATGTGCTGTTTGTCACTATGGAAACCAGTGTGGAGAATCCTCAAAAACTAAAACTAGAAATTCATTGGACCCGGCTACTTCCCTTCTAGGTATCTTCTCAAAAGGGCTAAAGACAGCATACCATAGTGATCCACGCATACCCATGTTCATGGTAGCACAACTTAAAAGAGCTAGATCTTGGAAGCAGCCCATCAACGAATAAATGAATAAGGAAAATACGGTAGGTACACACAGTGGAGTACTACACTGCCATAAGAAAGAGTCGTGTGCAGGAAATGTATGCACCTTGAGACCATAATGGTAAGTGAAATAAGTCAGGCACACAAGCTTAAATCTCCTACAGTTCCTCTTATACAAGAAACTCGAAGTATAAATAATTTTAGGAGCAAAATAAAGACAGATAGTACGAAACAGAGAAATAAATCTTTTGCAAATAGGAAGGCTATCTAGAGATAGAGGACTAGAGAGAAGGGAAAGAGGAATTAGAAAGAATTAAGATAGGTACGTGTAACAATTCCGTTCAAGGAAAACATGTGCTAATAGAAAAAGAAAATGTGATATTGTATAAAGAGACACTTGCACAATGGATATTATTCAGTTTTATCAGTGCAAGAGGCTCTGCCATTTGCCACAACGTGCAAGGATCTTGATGACACTTTGCTAAAATGAAATAACCCAGGGACAGGAAAACAAATACCGCACGATCTCACGCATATGTGGAATCTTTTCTAGAAAGGCAAATGAACAGCAGTAGAGACTCATACAGTGGTTACAGAAGGGAATCAGGTGGGGAAGAAATGAGGAGACGTAGGTCACAGCGTACAGAGCAGCAGATTATGCGGCCCAAACCAGTCTAGAGAGCAAAAATCCATGGAAGCTGTGCTTCATGACATGGTACTGCACTTGGGAATTTACTAAGAGATGAGGTTTCCAGTGCTCTTCCCACCAAGGGGAAAAAGAAAAGGATACACAGGATTTGGATGAGAAGATAGCTCAATGGTACAGCACTTGCTTGGCATGTGAAAGGCCCTGGGTTCAATCTCCAGCACTGTTTTTTTTAAGGTAACTATGTAAGGATATGCTAATGTGCTCCATTATAGTAACCCTTTCCCTTACTTATTTATTTATCTAACATCGTGTTGCACTCTTTAAACATCTACAACTTACACAATAATGATTCCAATTTTGCTGAAATCAGCCACAGTTGTTCACCGCTAAAAACTGTTCCTCATCCAATAAGTAAACGGGACTGCTACCAGCCTGCTTTCCTTCAAGTCACCACCTCCCTACAAAGGGTTCCCTTCAGTTCTTAAATCACGGGCCGGGCCGGGGCTTTGCTCAGTGAGGTGCAGTGTTTTCTCAGCAGGTGCAAGGTTCTGGGTGTCATCCATAGGAAGAGGGGCGGGGGAGGGAGGGCGGGAGACAGGGAAAGGGAAAAGGGAGCAAACGGGTGGGTAGGAGCGAAA